GTGGAGCTAAAGGCGACCGAGTCAGCACGGCGACCGCAGCTGCAACCGCGATGATCGCGAAAACCGAAAAGCAGGAAGTGGGAGATTCCGCAAAGCTCCCAAATCCGACACGCGACAACAGAGTCGACGCATTGGCTTCCGGAGACGCCGAAGCTACAAAAGCAGATGAGAAGGCTGCTGCTCCCGCCTCGATGGAGCTGCCGCGCTTTCCAGCATCTGCCGCTACACCACCCATCGGGGAGCCTCGGTGGGCTCTTCAAACGCCCTGTGTGGGTCCTCCTGCTTTTGATGCTCCTGGAGAGGGAGAGGACGAGCTGGGGTGGGGTGGTGCTAGTTGGGCGAGGGGGAGTGGGGGGCACTCCTCCGCCGGAACAGATGGATTAAAAAAAAAAATGTAGAGGAAATAGCACGAGATGAAAAAGCTGGGAAATTGTAACAAAAAATAGGCGGCAGAAAGATTGTGTTGGAGTCAAGCCAGAGAGCTGTCAAACGACCAAAATTGAAAGATTGAACGGGAAAGTCGGAAAAGTCGGAGCTTGTTGCGACAGCTTGTTGTCAAACTCAATGACAAAAAAATGTCGACTGTGTCATTGTCTTCCCCATTTTACTGACATTTTTGTAAACTGTTAATTTTATTGACCACAAAGCCTGACTCGTCATTGTTTTATTTTGTTTAATTTTGTGGGGTGGTGACGACTGTTTAAAAAGGCATCTATTAAATGTACAATCAACACAATTGTATTTGTTTTTACTGTAGGTATTCTTAAAAAAAAAAAAAAAAGTTTTTTTCCCCACTTATTCAAAATGTGATTTTTAATAAAGGTAACTGTTTAGAAAGGCACCGAAAATGAAAAACGGAAAAATTACAACAGGAATGTATTTGTTTTTTTCCCCCGCTCATTTATATTGTCTTTTTTCACATAGTAAAAACTCAGAAATGAAAAATATGAAATTGCATTTTCTTGAACTTGTACTTTTTTTTTTTATAACTGTCAGTCATAAATTTAATTAATTTTAATTGATTGGAAGGGAAGCCTAGAACTCAAAAGGAGTAAGATCATTGTCCAAAGTGGTTGATAAACAAACCCGCGAATCTTTTGGACGTCAAACCTCACAAAAGCTGTGACAGAAAAATTAGAGCTTGCGATCCATTAAATGGACGGCGAGCCGTCTCCACCGGCAACGGCTCGACTGACAGGTGAGGCTGAAGGCTAAACTACGGAGACCGTCCGTCAAACAGACGAAAGGAGAACATCTTACGCCGTGTGATCCTCCAAAAGAGGAGACAAGCGGCGTCGGGAGTGGATTTCAAAAGTGCTTTTGGCAAGAACCGACGCTCTGTAGTGACACTATAACAACGGAACAAGTGGCGAGGGACACTTTGAAGGCCGACGTGTCAATAGTCAACACATAGCTTTCGTTATTTAATTGGTTTTCGTTACCTGGAATAATCTCGATGTCGCTACATTGTGGATTTTCACATATTGCGGCTGAAGAGTCCCACTTGGAATATTTCCAGACCTCCCCCCAAATTTCTGGACCTTTTCCAGAAATGTACCCATCCCAAAATTCACATAATATTCACCCTTACGTAGTATGACGGTGAGAAAAAGCAGGCCCAATAAGGTGATGATGACACAAAACCCCGTGAGCGGCGGGGCCCCCGTCCAGTGAGCGATGGACGCTGTGGGCGAGACATGAATCATGTGTCTGGGAATTATGTCGGCCACATTTAATATAGCCGCGGTGTATTCCTGTCGGGTCGCGTGAAGGGCCTGTGGGCGAGGCGCAAAACAAGTGCGTAATGGGCTCACAATTGAATCAGGTGTCTGCTCCTCTTAAGGAAATTAAGTTGCGGCTGGAGCTGCGCCACTTAATGAGAGGCGGCCTCGCCGACAGTGACGAATGACGACTGACACGGGCGGCCGAGGCCATATCTGCATTTACGCCCGGGATGATTTTTCATCCCGGAGACCCGCTGAACATACCCCTCCTCTCGCCCCGTTCCTCTCACACCCACTTTGTCTCGCCTCCCGCTACACTTCTCCACCATCACCGAGGGACGCATTTGTGCCCCGTGTGGTGCCGGCCATTTATTTGCACATATATATTCCCAGAGAATAATGACAGTTAATAAAGAGGGGCATCTTCTTTCCGTGTGTTTCCACTCTTGACGGGAGCCATTATGTGATATTGATGGATGCTTATGCTCAATTGTCACAGGAAGGCATGCACAGCAGAGTCCCTGCAGTCCAAAAAAACACCATCAAGTTACGTTTTAATCTCGATTTTATGGCGTATTATGTATCGCGATCACACCAAAAGTAGCCGTGTATTTACTGTCAACACTGCCGAATTTAGACAAACTGGGATCGCATAGCATAGGTTAGCTTATCTTATTGTAGATATAGATGGATTGCTGGATCAACATATTTGACATAATGGAGAATAAACACGAAAAGCTGAACTGTATCTGGATTTACTCCTGTCATTTTTAGACAAAACTTGCAATTAAAGATAGTATAGCCTAGTTTAGCATAACATTGTACGTTAGCATTACGCTAGCCACCATGATATGAAATAACAAACAATCAGCTAACTAGCTACCTCACGATTAGATAACTAGCTAGCTGGCTACCTAGCCAGCTAGATAGATAGATAGATAGATAGATAGATAGATAGATAGATAGATAGATAGATAGATAGATAGATAGATAGATAGATAGATAGATAGATAGATAGATAGATAGATAGATAGATAGATAGATAGATAGATAGATAGGTTTATGGGCATGGGGTTTCGGTTTGGTAAGTTTTGGTTAGCAATAGTCTTGGATTGAAAGATATGGTTCACGGAACACAGCTTAGAGTTGGTGTTGCTGTTTTGTCGAGCAACAGAATTCAAATGAGCCCCACAGTTGACTGTGATTTGTGCTAAAAGGAGGAGAGAAGGATGGTTGGATGGATGTCATCTGAGACAGGTTACGTGCTTTTGTTGGTGGTGCTGTTTCAGTTAGCAGCAGACAGCAAATGGGCACCACTGCTAGCAGATGGACAGGTAGGTCAGGAAGCGGACGTTTTACCGATCGTTCTAGTTACTCCTCTGCCTGGTGCAATGTTTCTTATGGATGGACTTCCACATCAAAAATGTCCTCAACCTAACATCCGTGTTCCTCTAGTTGGGGCGAGTGTCTGCAAACTCCCCACCAGTGAACTTTCCCTACTTATCACTTTTCACTCTCCCGCCTTCACGTCTTTGATAGCCCCTGCCCCCCTCACCTCACCACCACACCAAAAAAAAAAAAATCATCCAATGCACAAGAGAATCCTTAAAGAAGTCCTTCCTGGCAAGCGGACGGTTCCTGCCTACTGCCAAGCAGATCTGCCGGATGAAGCGCGCACGGCTGGAGAGGCTGGATCACAGTGCAGGCCATTAAAGATGAAGGACGGGTGGAGGGAGGAAACCGAAGTGGGAGGGCGGGCGATGGTAGCCTCACAAAACCGGGTGGACACTTCCCCCAAGTAATGAGCCAGTGCCCGGAATACGGGGTCAATTATTCATAGTCAGTCAGATACGAGGGATGAGGGGCAGAGCGAAGACTACTGATGCCTACTCAGGCGCGCGCACAGCGCCTGCAACTACACAACTTTAAAAGGCATACGTGAGTGACCACCGACTCAAATGGATGTCCACACTGAGCAGAAATGGCTACTTCCTGATCCGACAGCCTCAAATTCGCTACACCGGTGCCGCCAACTCTGTGAGTTTTGAGGGCTTGGGCGGGGCTTAAAAAAAGTTTGGTGAAGGTTTTTGTAATGCATGATATCAATGTAGATATGAGCAAAACAAAACATGATGTTCTTTAGGGGATGGTCGTGTGTGTGTGTGTGTGTGTGTGTGTGTGTGTGTGTGTGTGAGATCATCGGTGACCGTTCAACCTTATAACGCGTGATTCCACTTGCCCGTATTTCCTGTAAGGACTACGTTCAACCTTAGAGGTTCCAAAGCATTTATATGCTGAAATGTGGGAAAAAATTGTGCATGAAAAACCTCTCTCACACACTTTCCATCATCACGTGCGAAGAAACAAAAACCTGCAAGCGGCACAAGTTTCACCCCACCCCCACCCCCAAAAAACAAAACAAAACAAAAAAACAAGAGCATCTTTTTACTGTCATGCGTGGTGGAAGGCGCTTATCAGAGCTATTCCTGGTTGCTGCAGAGATTTTGTTGCGAATTTTGCCGAGCTGTCACAGTTATCTCCCGGAGACATTGTTTGAACTGGGAGTGTAAGCGCTGACGAAAACGGCAGAGCTGGCATATTTACACCTCCGGTCTGCACAGGACGGAGGGGGAGGAGGGGGGGAAGTTAGATGGGTTGGTGGTGGAGTAGGGCTGGGGGGTGGGGTGGGCGCGGGGGAGGGGGGCAACTTGTCACCTGCTTGACGGAATCATCTCACCACATTGTTTCACCCCCCCCCCCCTTCCTCATTAGGGGGGCCAGGGATGCGTTTAACAGGGGGTGTTTATTTCATCAAGGTGATGGCGAGGCCCTGAGTGAAAAACAAGGAAGGCAGAAGGAGCAAGCGTCCTCTGGGGCAGTTCATAAATACGTGACATTTACACGTGCGGGGACTGGAAAGAATCCAAGTAGCCCCTCGCCACATTTTGAGTGGAATAAACCACAGAGCCAAATAATACTTGTAGGGGGTGTGGGGGGGTTTGAATCTGACACATTTGGAATTCCGACACAGTCACCCATCATCAGTACTGTCACAACTAAAAGTCATCGTAAATCAAGAGTACACAGGATACCCGGGTTGTTGTTCTTGTGTGCTAGCTTAAACCAAGGGTGCATCAGGTCGAAATGGCGAAGGAGAGGACTCGTGTTTGTCATGGAGCACAACCCCCCCCCCCCCCGCCACCCCCACTCTGTTTATCATTTTAAGCAAATACGTCAGTTCACAAGTTCCAATTACAATTCATAGATAGGAAGTACCTTCTTAGGAAGACCGTCCTTGTCCAGTTCACGAGGCCGGACTGCGCGTTCTTGATACTGAGAAAGGCCCAAAACGTGGAAGAATGAAGAAAAAGAGAAAGAAGAAGAGGAATGTCAATTCTAAGCACAAAATAAACTACAATAGACATAGTTCAAAAATCCATTGCCATTTAGATAAACAAGGCTGCAACTTTAACACAACAACAATAATAATAATAATAATAATAATAATAAAAATAATAGGAATGTATAGAATTTGAAAAATGTATAGAACAGATAATTCAATTTACAAAAATAACCCAAGTATGAACGAAACCTTCCTATATGGACGTAAATACAAACTGCTACTAATCATCATCAAAATAATAATACACTTTTTTTTTATATGAAACAGAAAAAGCAAGACAAAAAAATCAATCCTCAAGTATTCTGACAAAATCGATACACATACTGGATCTTCTGAACAACTCAATAATAATTATATTACATGTTAATTATGTCTTTTTTTTCTTTAATTATGTCTTTTTTTTCTCTCTTGCGGCTTTGTATATTGCCTTGTACAATTAAAAAAAAAAAGTAGTGCATACGGGAGGGGACAATGTTCGATCCAATCCTGTTTATTTCAATATGAACCAAAGTTACAAAGTTAAAAAAAAA